TGTTATCGGTGAAAATGTGTATAGCGCCATTTAATTACCAAACATCTTTCATGTTTCAATATTTCAAGTGCAAAACGATAGCAATTTGATATATGATTCACTGCGTGAATTTATTTTTGTCCATAATGACAGAGTTTATTCTCGGCTCTATAAATCTGACACCTCTGATAATAAATCTAACATCGTCAAACAGTTTTTTCAGAAGATGCATGTACGTAAGTAGTAGGCGCGCGTCATCTTTCGCGAGTCAAAGGGACAAATCGCGACTTGTTATATCGGAATAAAGTGAAAATAACTGATATAAAATATTTATTTTAAATCTACGAATGATTTGCGAGGGTGGCAAACGTCACATTCGCCGCGAAAGAAAATCGTTAATGCATCGCATTACAGCCCGACATATTTCGAGGATGCGTATATAACAGCGGCGACAGCCGATTGAAATTTGTTTAATTTTAGAGCGCCTCCTTGGCGACTTATACTTTTGATATAAAATTCATTTGCAGCAAAAACGATCGGTTTCTCACGTAGTAATTATTGGAATGAGTCGATAGCTGTGCGGCGGCGGCGCCAATATATTATACGCTCAGTACAATGCGTGCAAACTTCAAAGCGGGAAATATTTATTCTTTCAATATAGACCAAACGAAAGTTCCGGATTGACGTACGTACCACACGGGTCACATGGTAATAAAATGAACAAAAATGAAAGCTTCGTGTATACGAGAAACATTTTTCCGTCACCGAGAATCGTATGAAACTTGATTCTTCCAACTAAAAATGTCAAAGATTGTATGTACGATAAAAATATTGGAAGAGCGTCATAAAAATGTTTCCTATGAAAAATACATCGAAATAATTTAACATTAGCAAAAAAAAAGTAGTACGACTCAATTTGCGCTCGAACTCGACACTATATTACACGCAGCTCGTGACATTTATTTATTTTATTACATGCACGAACGAGAACGCATTATTATTCACGGCTCGTCCTTGAAAGAAAAAAGTTGAAAAAACTCGGTGAAAACGTAAATAACATTGATTAGAGAAGTCAGTGACTTTAATTGGAAGTCGATACGTAATGTGCGAAGCTCCTCGGGAGTGCATGTTTATCGATACGCCGAGCTTTTATTTGCGGAGAATCGTGTTCTTTAAATTATACACAATGTGGATTACCTTTCAAGCGAACTCATACTTTTCGAGTGATAAATAATAATTCGATAATTTAGCTTCGGTGGCAACGAAACATTATACTGCGTTGTAACGTTCGATTCGAGGTGTAAACATTCATTATTTCACGTGCTCGATTCGCGCAGGGAGGAGGCAGAGTTTCTTAGAAATATTTACAAATATTTAGACAATTTTCTGAATTGATTTTCAATGTTTCGTATAGTTTTTGCGAAGGAAAAGTTCATCTTTGGCCTTATGGCTAACCTTTAAACTTAAACTCGGTGGGAAATTATTTACGCCTTTCTCCTCGATTACGCGTAACAGAGACGACGCAATAAATTTTTCAAATATGATCGAGCCGCGACACGTACGACGTGGAGTTGTTTTTCTCTTACAGTATCGTGTCTAAAGTTCATTGCTACAATGAAATACATAAATAAATAAATCATCAAAATATTGATTATTCACCGAGTAGAGAGTAATCGGAAATTTTTCAAACGTATCGAAAACATTTGCAAAATTATATATATACTGCGTTTACATACACACGACTGCCTGCGCGACTTTATTTTTGATAATTGATTTTTTCGTTGCTTTTATTTTCCTTCAATTTTATCTAATCGAAGCACGTGTTTTCATCGACCGAGTGTCACGTTTCGGGGACACCAAATGAAAAATAAAATATAAGCAATCATCATCCTATTGCGCTGTATATACAATACACAAAATAATAATAACGAAGACTGTATCGCATTTTGTGCGACTTTCGCGAATCATCGACGCGCTATGAACGATTTCGATTTTGATATATACCTAAACCTTAATCTGTCGGGCTCATCGGCACAATCGAATGCCGAACACGAGCATACCTGCATTATTCCAGTTTTTTTATCATAACATTATAATCGCTTTATATATTTTCTATTGACTTCTAGAATTGCCATAACTTTTGTATCGGCGTAAAAAACAACTCAATGACTTTGAAACACTGCCACCGAGAGAGTGAACGTTTCATATATTTGAGAGAGAGGCACGACAACTAATTACATAATCAAATCGAGTCCGTTACAGAAAAACCACCAGTAATAATTATTAAATAATTAGTGTTCATGCATATACATCGGGGGCATCGAAGCGCAATGACTGATTGTCTCGAAATAATTTTTTTTCTGAAACGATGAATACAAGAGACAACTGCTCGACACGGAGCTTTACCGCACGAGCTCAAGTCTCTCGCCGATGGATTTTTTTTTCTTGTCACTCGTGTACAGAGCTGTAACGGGATAGGTGCATTTTTTTATCCATTCATACACAGGAAGCAATGAAAACTATGGTTACAGTTTTTTCCAATATTCAATTAAGCAGAAAAGAGAAAGAAAAGGCCGCTTTATATTATTTCTATTGTGTCATTGACATTGAGCCGTAATTCTTCATATCTCTTTGAGCCTTTTCTTATATCTAAAGAAATGCCACCCTCCAAATTGACGTATCGAGTATCAAAATCTGTGGGAAACAATAGGACTGATTGATACGGCCGCAACTTTTCGTATGAGGCTTACCATGTCTTCTTCCGAATTTTCCACGCCTTAAAAAAATTTGTTTTTTTTTTCTTTGATAATCCATGAGATTCTCGTAGGCGATGCGAGTCGGTGCATTAATTCGTAGGCACATATTGAAATATCACATGACGCGAGCGAGTAAGTGACACATATACTGGGGACAAGATCACGTACAAAGATGCTCATGATCAACGGATGGGGACGACAGTTTTGGAGGCGTGACCAATACCCAGAAAGTAAAGAGTTCAATTAACATAACGTTTAAGCGACCCGCAACGATACCTGTACATAATGTACAACGCTTACAGTGTCACATACAGATATATGACGTGAACACAATATATTTATATATGGCCTGTCCACATTGGCTTTTCTAATTGCTGGGCGCTTGCGTCGTCGTTTTCACGTGGATTTCAACGTCGTCTTCACCTCGGATTTATGTATTACATGTATTATATGTGTTATACTTTTAATAAATCTTAGACCATGAGAAAAAAGCAATAAAAAATTTAATTAACGGATTTAAAATACCGGAAGTATCTCTATATATTCGATCTGTCAATAATTAGAAAACCATAAAGGTGTTTTCGTTACACGACGTTATTAATTTTTTATTTCTTCCTTCCTTCCTTCCGTCCTTTCTTTTTGTCACGCACAATAAACGATGGTGTTTCTCATCAAAGCCGCGGGAATTGCAATGTCAAAAATGTTCATAAATTCAATAAAAAAAACGGAGAGTAGAGTCGGGAAAAAAGATTTCTCCGCAGCGCAGTTCGCACGCACTGTCTCGCGTTGCGTGGATGTGAGAAGGTGCGCGAGTAATTCCTTCGTTATTTTGTGTGCGTAGAGATACAGCACGAGTAATTATCGATTCGTGTGGTCTATGCGGGGCTCGTTTCGGCGAGCAGAGAACTGCTCTCTCTCTCTTGGGTCTCTCAAAGGCAGGAAGGAGCAAATGAGAATCGAAGAAGGGCTTGTGCAAGCAAACGACGGAGACACTCACACAAAGACACACGATCAAGAGAAACAACAAAAGAAACGGATAGAGACATTGGTCGCATTCCGAGCATTTTCATTTCTTTTTTCCGCGCGCGAGCGAGAGAGAGAGACGACCTTTTTTTTCAAGACCACCCATTTGATCATCATGTCTCTTTCTGTCTCACTTATATACCTATACACATATCCGCTGTTTGTGCGATCGTGTATTATATATATATATATATATATGTATCAGCGAAACACACACACAGGCCGATTCAGGACACACGATCCGAGCTCGAAGCGCGAAAGGGGATTAGCCGTGTTTAGCGCGACGCGGACAACGCACAAGAGAGCCGTGTATGTGGGTATTATATATTTAACACACAAGTACGGAGTCGATTGAGAATTAACGAAGCGTGTTGGTCCCTCTTTGATTTCTCATCATATGTACGCAAGGGGGGAACAATTTTCAACGCGGCACATAACACGCGTGTGTGTTTGCGCTCAGCCGACTGTGTGGATCAACAAAAGTAATCTTTTTGTTATCGTTGTTGTTGTTGATGTTTATTAAATAACTAACCTATCTTGAGGTAACCTATTGTTCCAGCTTTGAGGTAAAAAAACGCCGCTCAGCCTCGATTCGCCGCTCGCACGACGATTAGCACAGCAGTGAGCAGTCTTCTATCGCACGACGACAACGACGGCGAATTTCATGTCTCTTTCTCACTCTGCGTCGTCGGCTTCGGGTACAACTCACACACACTCGCGGCCTTATTGGCGTCGTCGTTTAACTGCGTTTTTTTCGACTTTCTTCGATCTCTTTATCCATTTGTCCTCCTCTCGTCACTGTACAGCGCAGCTCGGCGAGAGAGTCTTTTTTTAGTTCGGTATACACGTGCTGCGTGTGTGTGCAACTTACGCGGATAATTTTTACACGCCTTCTTTGGTAGAGTATAACGCAAAGGCAAGCGTCGCGGCCTTTTTTTCATTAGCCTCTTTTTTTGTTTTTCAATTAATATAGGTGTATCTGAATTTCCTGAAAGCGCTTCGATTGCATCCGCTCTTGCGTCGGTGGAATGATAAAAATGTCTATCGAGAGAGACAGATCGTGGACATTCGAGAGCATAAAAAAGGGGTTTCGAGTGGGAAACGATTACGCACCGTTGCAGGAGCAACGATTACCGTCTTTCTCGTTAAAAATTCACAACGACGATCGGTATGAACTGATCAAAACGGTACATACGAGTGTCTTATTTGGGGTGGGGGATGGTCGTTCGGTAATCTACTTACTGATGTGAGCGTGCGATAGCTGATTGCAGCGAAACTTTCCAGCCGGCCGTTCGTCCAATTTTTTGTCGTAGATGAGCAATCTGTCTTGTCGTATTCTCTGCAGGGTGAGGATGACGGGAGATGAAGCACGGCAGTAGCGTCGCCCGGGTCTACCCGTGCTCACGATCGCGATCGTTCTCGTGGCCATGGTCAGCGGCGACGCGTCAACAACAATCGCTCCTTCGGCATTATATGCACATGGTAATTTTTTCAACGCGCGGATTGATTGGGATTTCTCGTTTAACGCGTATAATTTACAATCCTCGCGTTGGGATTTTTTCAATAAAAATTGAAGATAAAACTGCGCGCACTGCTACCCTCGTTGATGTTTCTCGACTAAAATAATAAAATAAAAAAACAGAAACGCGGATCAAGGTCTGTCGATCGTCGATGATCGTGCCGGCACTCGACGATCGATCGATGCTCGTTTACTTATTATTATTTATTTATTTATTATTGTTAAAATTGCGCGTGCGACACATAGAGAGGGAGAGAAGTGAGTTCGATAACAGAGTGCCGAATCGTAACTGAGGCATCATCCCAATGTATCGTAGCGTTATCATAGTCGTCGTCGTTATCGTAGTCGCGAATTTAGCCTACAATTTCGCGGTAAATATTAACAAACGTGAGGCGCGCGAATCAAACAGCTGTTTATTGTATACGTAGGATTAATTATACAGCTTGGGCGCGCGTGCAGCAGCCGCAGCAGCAGTAGCAGATTACACAGCACGTGAGCACGTATCACAACGCTAGGTTAGTGACCCTCGACAGAGGACTCGATTCGTATCTCGATTCGATCGATCGATCAAATTGGTCCCTTCGCGCGTTACGAGCGACACGATCGAACGACACGAAGCTGTCCACTGTATAATATTCGATGGGCTGCTGCGAGACGAGAAAAATATTTTATAGACTTTCGCTTGGAGATCTACATAAAATAACGACCCTCGGATCCGATCCACGACTCCTTTAAGATGCCTAGATCGAATTTAGCATACGCATTGCGGCGCGGCATGCGGTCTATTAAACTGCAAGTGAAAGTGCTAATAGCTGTGTATAATAAGCTCGTCTGGTCTGTAGCAGCAGCAGCAGCGGAGCAGATCTGACGCGGGGGCGGTGGTAGTGGTAGCAGCCTCAGGTCTGGCACGCGTACGTATTATTATAGCGGGCTGATGCGTCTCGAGTTCCGATCGAGTTGATTCAACAACTGTTGCTGTTTATGCTGCTGCTGCTGCTAAAAGGCGTGGAGCTAAGCAGCAGCCACGCGTCTAATATTATTTTTTTTAATAACCATGCCCAACACCGCGCACTGCGTCGGTTAAACATTATTGCGGGTCCATATAAAGAAATTGATCTACGACATATTGTATTCGGATGATATTATAACTACCCAGACGCCAGAGAATCGTAATTCATCATCGTTCGTATACGTACCATTCAAATGCGTACGTATCGGGACGTAAATCGCGATACATACAATAATACATTGTATATCACGCGCCGAGAGAGTAAGAGCGAGAGAGAGAGAGAGAGAGAGAGAGAGAGAGAGAGGGAGGATGAGTCATTACTTCGCGTACGTACGTAAGCGTGTGGCGCGGGGCCAGTGCGCGCGACACGATTTTCTTTAGATTGTAATTTTTTGATTTTTGATTTTTCACTCATGAGTCAGCGCGCTAGTGGCAGCATGTAATAACTGAAAAAGTTTCGCTCGAAATGTACACGTGTGCTTGCGACGCATACACACATGATTGTACTCTACCTCTGATACGCAATTCGTAAAAATCCGTAATCTGCGGAATAGCTTCGGTGACAGCTCATTCACTTACTCTCTCGCTCTCTCTTTCTTTTTAATTTTTTTGCATCGTGCACATCGCGCGACGTACAGAGAACGAGTCGATCGTGCTCGGCACAGACGCGACGAAAAGGCCACGACACTCTTTGGCTTTTTTATTTACAACATAATCGTAATCAAGCACATCGTGCACGCTCGCTCGTTTTTGGGTATATATATAAGAGGATGGGTGATTCACTCGTTGACAAAATCCAAATCATGTATTGAACGAGTGATCTTGAAAAAAAAGGAGAGATTGAGCTATTGTTTTCGTTAAGGTGCATGCGCGCTCGTTGTATACCTGAAAGATTTATCAGAGCGGCCCCAACTGCAAATTGCGATGATCCTTTTAATTACTGCTATATAATAATACATGTGAACCAGTGATACATTTATAACACTGTATCGTTACGTAACGAACGTCGATAAGGCCAACTTGTCGACTGCAACTTTCGTCGTATATAACGTGGGCAACGATTCTCGCGACGCGATGAGGCACGGGCCCGATGGAACTGTGTCTTATTATTAATTTTTTGTTTTCTTTTTCTTTTTCAAATCGACGTAGATGAAAGTATGAAGGTAAATATTGATGTTTAAGCGCGAGATAATTTTTTCTTCGCCGTCGATTAGTTTCGTTTTTCTTTTTTTGCGCCGCAATGGTTATACATCGTATGATAATTTGCAGCGCAAACACGATCACTGTGTGTATCGCTGCTAATGCGTCGTTAATATATCATGTACTGCGACGTAATAATTATTAAGAAAGGTAGGCTGAAGGTATAAATTCAACTGAATGAATGAAAATTTCATTGATTGAACAAAATCATGCTATTGGAAAAAATGCATTGTATAATCTGATTGTAATAACAACTATTTTGTTTTATGAATTTTAACAATTTATTTATCATTTGATTATTTCTATTCGAGCATTATTTAATTAAATTGTTACAAAATTGAAAGATTTTAAAGGACGCCAATATTTCAATATAAATATTTGTAGAAGTAAAAAGATTACACTTATTTACATGAACCAAATATTTATTTGTCTTGGAAAAATGCTTCATAAAATTGATCGAATATTGTCGACTTCTTGAAGCCTCTTTTGAATTGATGAAGTTTGTAATTAAACCAACCCTGATAAAAGTGCTCGACATTAATAACGTCCTAGTGACCAAAAAAACCAATGAAAAGGGGTTTAAAATACATTTTCTGCAATATAAAATACGATTTTTCTGTTTAATCATTTTACTAATATTATTGTAACAGTATTAGATGCATTTTAAATTAGCTGAAAATGGAAATTTAATTTTTTTTTTAATTGAGACCCGTTTTCAGGCACTTGAGCTTATATCCTTTATTCAAAATTTCACCACTAGATGGGGAACCTTTATCTGTAAATCTCCAAGCGGTATATAAAAATATTTGTATAAATCAAGGCACAGTTTTAAATATCAATAGTATCGCGAAATATACTTTAGTGGGCCAAAAACTAGTTATTAAATGTTGAGCATTTCTACCAGAGAATGAGCTCGTGCTCATTGGTGGTAGCATTTCTTTTATGAAATTGATTTGATGGATTTCGAAGCTTAACATTAATCACATTAAGTATTTGATTTATTCGATTAAAATTTTATTATTCCAATTGGTTTTTGCATAGAATCAATGAAGTACCAATTATAAAATCAAATTTGGTACAATTCACGAAATTTTTTTTTCAAAGTAGTAAACAAAATTCCCTCATCAGACAAAACTTGTTTTTTTTTTTTTTTTCATTTCTTACCTTGATTTAGTATTGTTTATGCGTGCATGCAAACACTGCGACTCACTGCAGTATGTGTTTACGTCGATCGCGAAAAATTGATGACATTTTTCAATTCTCTGTTGTCGATCCGCGACAGCATCATGCTCGTTATTATACATCCTCTCTTTCTTTTCTAGCGCGAGCTGATAATTATTTTCATTTTTTTCTCGCTCTCTCGTTCAAGGTGCTCCAACGCGTAGACGAGAGATAGCTACTCTTTTCGAGGGATCGTCGCGGCGCGACCTTAGATGCATGCACGACGCGTATAAGTCATTATTATATCCATTCGATGTCCTCGTTTCATCACTAATTTTAGCATTAATTATAATATCGCGCGTATATATAGACGTTGTTGGACGTATTTTAGTTGTAAAATATTGGGATAAATCATCGTCTCATGTTATACGTGACGATAATGGGCGAAAATTATCGATATATAATTGTGAATTGGCGTCAAGAGTACAGCATTGATATGTATGAAAATTTGTTAAACAATTAAATATATCGAGAAGATGTTGAGACTCACCTTAAGAAAGTAAGATAAAGTCAACGCCGAGCTCCACGTCAATCGACGCAGCTACAACCTATAACATAAAACAAAAAAAATGTATATTAGAAACTGTTTTCATCTTAGAAACCAATCTACTGTACCAGTATAATAACGACTCAAGCTTCAAATACATGTAGCTATCTCAAAGCATTGAAATGTGATTTTTTTTTGTGTATTTCGAAGGCCTTGCAATGTAACAATTACGAAACCCCTAGTAGAAATATTCTGCATTTTACTGCTAGTTTTTGGACGAAGAAAAAGTTTCTTGGGATAAAAGGGCATTTAGAACTTGGCATATTCCAATCAGGAGTGTAAAATTTTTTCAATAATTTATGGTCATATTACGCCTAAACAATTAATTCAATCAATTCTATGATACGGAAATCTCTATTGTCTATTGGCCGCTATTGGCTCAATATACAATTATTTTGACTTTGCCACTTGCAGATTTCCAGATGAAGGTACTCGCCATCTAGTGGCAGAGGCTTAACTTTATGTACTTAGAGTGCTTGAAACTAATCTAAATTTTCATTTAAAATGCGTTCAATACTTATAATAAAGTTGTAACAGAAAAATCGTTAAAAATCACTTAATCAATAGTTGTATATTTAAAAACATTTTAAATGGTCATTTTTCAGTCATAAGGCCATGATCGATGTTAAGCATTTCTACCAGGGAGGCTCGAGGCTCTTACATTACCGCGCGTCGCATGAGTCACTCAGAGTCGAAAGATACGCGAGAATTTCTTCCCATCATCGTCATCAAAAAACAAAACATCTAATTCCCGCCGTTGTCACGATTACTTTCGCGAATATCACATACAAAACGGAGCTTGTACTACTTGCGCTCGCTCTGTTTTGCTGCATAATACGTGTGTGCCGCGTATCGCTCAAACGAGAGAGACTCATCGCGAGTTTATAAGTACGTCGACACATATATCCGATGGGCAGACTCCTTATCAGTCGGACACACGCGGATAATGTAACAGACGTGTGTTATACACGCACACACACACATATTCACGCTCGCATATACGTGTCCACCTGCGCACGATATTCACTTGGCTTTTTTTCTCTTGCTAACTTCCCAGCGCACTTTTCGCTGTATCTACGTGTGCGCATATATACTGCTTATATGTTTTTATATTATATTATATTGTATCATCGTGCGAGCCCGAAACTACCCGTGTAATGGTCACGTAGAGCGCGTATATATATTACGTACGCCTGCTCGACTTGGAATTTGAGATGTACAAAATTGCATTATATGCTACGTACTACGTAGTACACACGGTAAAGATACGTCGCGCTGGCTCGAGTCGAACGCCTACG